GTTGCATTTAACCATCAAGCTGTTATCGCGGGGGAGGATACTGCTTCACAGTCTTTATGAGGTTGTCCAGCTGCTGGACACCTTTGTTGACCAGGAGAGTGGCTGTGTTGATGGCTTCAGGGTGGCCACTGCATGATTCAGGAACTCTTAAAGCTCTTCTAAGGTCATTGGTTGCTTCACATTCCAGAGGATAGTGAAGTAATGGCTTTGCTGTGACAGTTTGGCAGAAGATGCACTCTCTCTGTCGGGGTTCACCAATCTCCCAGTTGCATCTGTAACCTAGGCGTAGTCTATATAGCCTAACTGCTATATCCCTGTGGATTCCTTTTGGGATATTTAACCTTTCTAATTTGGTTGCCTGAAGATACCATGTTGCAGATGGCGAACCTTCAGCTATTCTCTGGTGCAGGTAGGCTTTGTTGAGATGTGAGAGTTTTTTGGTGATGATGTTTTTTATGTTCTCTAGGCTGGGTTGAATTCTTTTATGTATCACTGGATGACGAGTTGCCAATTTAGCAATTTCATCAGCTTTTTCATTTAATGGGATTCCAATATGGGATGGGATCCAGTTTAAAGTTATGTTGAGTCCTTTGCCTTTAGCGACTGCTCCAAGATACAAAATGGTGGTAATTATTTCCACATTATCTTTCCACTGTTTTTGTCCTAGTATTTGAAGTGCAGCTTTTGAGTCTGTGTGTATGATTGCATTTTGAGTGTTTTGTGCAATCACATATGCGAATGCCTGTTGTATGGCAAACAGCTCAGTTTGGGTTGATGATACTAGTCCTCCCAGTCTCCAATATGCCTGTACGCTGGTCGTGCAAAGAGCAGCGCCAGCACTCTCATTTTCTGTGTCCACCGATCCGTCTGTGAAGATGTGGGTGGCTCCTGCTACTGCTATGCTATACATTTGCTCTTCTATTATGCGCCTTAGGATTGTCGGATCATAGGCAGCTTTTTTCATTGGGAGACTTTCTATTACTATTTTGAAAGTAGGCTCTTCCCACGGCGCGGAAGGAGTGTAATTTGGGTGTGGATGATCACCCTCTCTATCAAGAATCATGTTTTTTAAATGTAGTCTGTTTAGGACTTTTCCTGCTCTTGCAACCCAAGAGTTTCCATTGTTTTGGCCTAGTCTAACCACCAAGGCCTGCCGTACTGGGATTGGATCAGAAGAAATAATTATCTTACTGATAATTGTAGCTGTCCTTTGTGATATTCTTTCTTGTAGAGAGGGCAAACCCGTCTCCAGTCTAAGAGTTTCAAGCCTGGTCCACATGGGGGCTCCCAGTGCAGCTCTCATAGCATTGTTTTGGGCAACTTCAAGCTTTTTCCACTGTTGGTGTGATAGATTTGTGAGTGCAGGTGCGGCATAATCGATCACTGATCTGACTGCCTGTACATAGTATGTGCGAAGGACTTGCAGATTGGCTCCTCCAGAAAGGGAGGTTAGCGACCTGAGGATTGCCGTCCGGGCCGCAGTTCGCTCTCTCAAGTAAGTGACCTCAGCATTAAAATTCATGTGTGTCCAGGATGATTCCTAGATACTGATAGGTGTCGACCCATTTAAACAGTTTTAGCCAGTTTTGGTTGACCCTGTACTGTGAGTGGTCAGTGAATGTTGTTGTTGTTGTTAAAGATTTAGCTATTCAGGACAGAGTGTCCATGTAGCACGGGCTATGGTGAGCCCGTAATTGAGTTTGGTGATATACATGATAACCTTTTTCCTGTGATGTTTAGGTCTAAGTTTAAAATGGAGGAGAGGACTTCTCCTTTTTCCCTGCTTATTTATCGCTTCTGTTTTAGTGCACTGGTTTTAAGCTTGTTTTATTAACATTATCTTGGTGGCGGATGTAGATGCAGAATGCTCACTTATGAGTCCCATTCCTCAACAGCTTTTCTAATCATTGTAGTCGCGGTGGAATGTGCATCTAATGCAGCTGCTGTCGTTGGATTAATGTTGAGTTTGATGCGCAGGGGTTCAGTAGCTTCACATTCTAGTAAGTAGTGCAATAGCGGCGCCTCTGCATCAGTTTCACAGATGTGACACTCTTTAACTATTGGGTTCATTACCTCCCAGCAGCACTTGTACCCAAGTCTGAGTCTGTGTATGGCTACTGCAATGTCTCTGGATATTTTTTTGCCAGGCTTGAAAGAGGAGTAACCAGTGGCTTGTTCATACCATATCGCAGTGAATCTTCCTTCCGCTACTTTGGCTCTGTGGCGACTTTTGATAGTTGAAAATATTTTCTTCTTGATTTGCTCCTTTATCTGTGAGAAACTTGGAGGGATTTGAACCTGTACAACAGGTAGAGCAGTGGCAGTTTTTGCTAGTGAGTCTGCCTTTTCATTACCCTCTATGCCAATGTGACTTGGTATCCAATTTAGGGTGATTGACAGCCCTCGATTATGGGCATCTTTTCCTATATGTTGAGAGATGTATATTATCTCTGTGCTGACTGGATAACAATGCCTGGAGCGAAGATTTAGAGTCTGTATGAATAATGACATCATGTAAATTATTCTCAATTGTTTCATAAATTCGTTTATTGCCTCCTTCAGGGCATATAATTCTGTTTGCAATGTTGAACACCCCTATGCACATATTCATGCTCCAGTAGGCTTCATGCTCCAGTAGGCTGGTAGTGTAAACTGCTGCCCCAGCAGAACCTTTTTCTTGATCAACTGATCCGTCTGTGAAGATGTGAGTCGTTGTGGGTCTAGAGATAGTTTCCATTTGTTGCTATATTACTTCCTTGAGCCTCTGCGGGTCACATGCTGATTTTTTAACTGATAATCTTTCAATGATTATCTTTAGAGTCGATTCTTCCCATGGAGGAGGCTGTCGAAAGTGTTGATATGGTCTGTTTTCCTTTCATGTCCATTTTCTCTAAAATCTTGACCAGTGAGCTTGTTCTAACTGTAAAAGGATATGCTGTCTTTGAACAGTTGGCGGTTGTTCCAGTATTATTATGGTGGCTATCCTTTGTTTCATCCTGTTTTCTAATGCTGGTAAATTTGTTTCCATTCTAAGGTTCTCTCTACGCGTCTGTATAGGTGCTCCAAGCATTGTTCGCAGAGCATCATTTTGAGACACTTCCAGTTTCTCCCACTGGTTATCACTGAGGGATATAGCAGTGACCTAACTGCTTGAACGTAGTACATTTTGAGCACTGGTAGAGATGCACCCTCTCTAAGACTGGTCAGAGAGCGCAAAACTGAGTTTCTGGCTTTACAGCGTTGCCGAAGATATTCAATTTCTTGAGTGAATTTCAACTGGTTGTCTATTATGACTCCTAGGTATTGAAAAGAGGTAACCCACTCAATTTCTTGTCCTTGTATTGCCAGTCTGATGTCTTGAGTTCTCATTTTAACGGTCATTGCTTTTGTTTTATTGCTGTTTATTTTTCACTGCTATGCGTTCCGCTTCCTTGCTGATAATATCTAGGCATTTTTGTGCATGGTTCCTTGCACCTTTGCCATTGATGATGACCACAAAGTCGTCTGCATAGTTAGGAAGTTTGGCTTTTGGTAGCTTGAGCTTCATGAATTGTTCCATGAGACAGTTGAAGAGGAATGGGCTTAGTATTCCTCCCTGCGGAGTTCCATTTTCCAGCCTCTTTGAGGTCGATGTTTTTCCTTGGAATTTGACTTTAGCTTCTCGGTTAAGCAGGCTTCCTTTGGCAAAAGCAAGAGCGTGTCCTTTGATTTCCTTATCCACAAGGCAGCACAGTGTAGCTGGAGCACTGGCTAACTCGAAGGCTTTTTCAAGGTCTAGAAAAATAAGGATTCCAGGTTTGTCATTGATTTTATACAGGAGGGAGGTAAGACATTCTGTGGTTCCAACACCTTTTCTGTAAGCAAACATATTTTGGTGTAGTGGATTGGCTTTCCATTCAATTCGATTAAGAGCCATTCTTTCTGCAGTTTTAGCCAGACAGCTTGTTAATGAGATGGGTCTTGGATTTCCTGGGTGGTCAGGGAATGAGATGACGGCAATAAAGACGGTTTGGTGCCTTCTTTTGATAATTACTTACTTTAGTAAATACAGATATAAAATATTTATTAAAAATACTAGTCATCTCCTCGTCAATATCTATTATTAGACCTGTCTCAGTTTTTAATGGACCTATCCTCTCCCTAGTCTTTATTCGATATAACTGAAAAAACCTTTAGGATTTGTCTTTGTCAAAGCAGGGATTTGTCCCTGCTTTGCGAACTTCATAGTTTCTTTTTGCTTTCCTTCTCTGTATTTTTAACATTTCTAACCAGTTGTACGAATTCCTGTTCTAAACTGACTTCCCCATTCTTAATCCTTTTGTACCACGCTCTTTGTTTTACCTATAAGGTTCTTCAGATCCTTTGTTATCCACTTTGGGTCATTAGTATTCGCTCTCCCCTTTTACGTCACCTATCGCTGGGTTCATGTCTCGCTCCAAGACCGGCCCACCCCCCATGCCCAAGACTTTCCAATCTATTTAACCCAAAAATTTTCTTAGGCTATTGAAATCAACTTTTCGAAAATCTGGCATTTTAACAAAATTTTCTCCTATAGATCTATTCCATTCTATGCTAAATCTGATTACTTTGTAATCATTGTTCCCTAGCTCACTCCCTATTTCAAAGTCATTAAATCAGCTAATTATATATTCAAAGAAATCAAGATGTTTGAAAAAACTTGTAGTTTTTAGAACAATATCATGTGTTATGGTTAAATATCTAACCTAAATGGATGACAAATTAAAGTAGAAGGTATTGTTATTCAATTTTCATTCATTTGTCTAGCACATTATCCAGATATTGGCATGACACATATCTGACACAGTGGATAGTTAATTAACAGACTAATTAAGTAAAGTGAAATCATTAAAAAAATATTCTGGTAAGTTTTCTTTATTCTGGTAAAACAAAATGGTATTCTGGTAAATATTAAACTCAATAAGGCCTTGAATTCAACTTGGAAAGTTTTTGGTTAGAGTAAACCAAAGCAAGGCTAAACAGAAGCTCCTTGGCAATTTTTCCAATCAGAAGTTATGGTCCTACAGCTATACATAATCTACCATGGCAAAAAATCCATAAATTAAATCAAACTATATTACTCTTCCAAATAGAGTAGAAACTGCATATCCTATAATTAATTAGTTTATTCACCAAGAAAGCTGTGTGCAAAATGAATAATCCTAAAGAATCAGAAATTCACTCCGTCCAGCGGTGTGTACACTCAGTGTTGCAACACACATAATACAGTCTCATCTCATCTTCAGCTCTCCTGGTTTGTGCTTGAAAGAATACTGCCTCACGTGTATTACATCGAGGGCAAGGATGGTCGTCAGTGCGAGGCAGTGTCGGGTCCTTTAAAAAAAAAAAATAAAAAATTAGCTTTGAATGGAATGAAATGCATCTTTTCAATTCCGTAAATATAGTAATGATTACTAAAACATTGTAGTAACATCGGAGGCCAAGAAGAGAACATCCAAATTCTTACCTGTACAACTTCTGGATTAATGTGACGCAGTTCGTCGATCTCGTGCATGAGCTTATTTACGTAAATGCAATTATTTTCTGCTCGCATCTTGTAATCACAGTTTCGGCAAGCATACAGCAATATCTTGTTCTCCTAAAAGAAATAATTATAATTAAAATAAATTTGTAATCAATTTTACAAGAACTTATGGGTGGTCCAGCTAATTTAATGCAAATTGAAATTGTTAGTAAATAAAATAACTGAAATAAATCATAGATAACCTGGTTGACAGTAATTGACTGAATGGCACTTCACCACACACAATAGAAAAAATCATTCCTTTTATGCACTAACTAGTAGTTAATAAAAGAAAATGTATTGTTTAATAACTATTAATTTATACCCAATAATGTTTAGCATTTTCCACCAAAGAACAGGATAGCAGATGAAGTCTCCAATAGCATGCTTTCTTCATTAACTTACAATCATACATTCTCTACATGCCTAAGCCATTGGAGTACTCAATAGTTGATTCACTAACTTCAATTGTAAATTAATCATTTACATATTCTCAAACATGCCCTGCTCTCCTTCAATGCTTCAAGCAGTCTCTATCCTACTGCTTACACTAAGTGGATATGCAGTTGGTGCTTTTATATCATTTGCTGAGAAATACATAATTGGTCAACAAAAAATTAGTCACAACTCGCAAAACTTGGTACTTTAATTTTTTTTCTGATTTCAAACTCTATTTTCTTTGTCTCTTTAGGTTGTTTTGATGATTAGGGGCCAAATTAGCCCCTAATCATCATTAGGGCTTCTTCACTTATATAAAGTATACCATAAATATATACCCAAAATCATTATAGTTACTATAATTATCCCGATATTATGTGTTTTGGGGGGTTATTTTTTCTTGACTTCATTTTAACACATTGACCTACAGCTTTCACATATTCGAGTAAGAATGCCAAAAAATGTTTATTAAAATATACTGTACAATTAAATTAACGAATTAAAACTACCTTTATTCATTGATGATAACTTCGACTTCAATTATCTCTGAAACTAGTTTCAACTTTGAATGGCTTCTAAAATTCCAGTTTTTGACCGATTCTCACTATTTTGACATATTGTGTGCTCAGTTGTCTGTTCTACAATCCCTTCAGAATGGATTTTTCATAAACTTTATACATTTGGAGTTATAATTTTTTGGTCTTAATTTGCCGCATGTTTCAAATGCACTACTGACAATTTTTTTTACAGTAAACTATACTGAAAACCTATATTCTAATTTGATGCAAATGAATACTACAAATGATGTAAATATTGCTATGTGGATGAAATGGAGTTAACAAACATGAAACTTTTCAGGTTTATATCCACTAGGAAAATGAAGGAAAAATTCTGAATTGTTTCAATTTTGTAGTGGATACTGTAGTGGATACACATAACCGAATCATTGTTTTTGTGATAATTATTCATAATTATGTATGTAATGTATAGTACAGTACTTGCCTTGTCTTCTCGAGGATATAACATGTTATTGCACTCTTGACAAAATCTAATTCCAATGAAACCTGACCCTTCAGCCGCGCCTTTGGCCCTTAGACTCATGCTTGAAAATGTAATCTGGAAAAAAATGTGGACCATTAACACAAAATATTAACATTTAACTTCAAAAGAATTTGTTTATTAAAACAATTGTAATAAATAAATAATAATAATAATATAAATAAATTTTTATTCAGGAAAAGTACATACAAACAGTAGTTGATTTAAGTGACTTAAGATCCAACATATTAAAAGTTTTGAGCATAGGTACCGAGAATTCTCCCGTTATTTTCAGCTGCTGAGAAAAACATTCACCAGAGAGCTGCGGAGAACTGATCAGGAAGCTTGACCAAGAATTGACCAAGCTGCTGATAGCTGTGCCAACTGTAAATCGTTCAAACCCCTACTCACTTGTGACATTGATAGTACACATGCCCATCAATGTCATTTATAAACAAAACTACACATACATTTAAACACCCAGCAATGCGTAAAATACCTAATATTTGCAAGAAAACTTGAGAAACTCAACCCTCAAATATTTGTTTACACTACCAGCCGGGGTGACTACGAGCCTCAAGGTATTAGTCTTGACGTGTGTATTATATTTTACTAGATTCAGTGATAAATTTTGTAATGAATACTTTTAATGGCTACATATGAATGATATATAATTGTATGTGTTGCATCATTGTTTGGCGATGTACTCAACCGATCTCCGTCATTCCTAAATCAGCAACAACAATCTTGTTACTCATGTATGGTAGAGCTCAGAAACACTCAACAACTCAGAAACACTCAGCAGCGGCTGAGTGTTGTCAGCCGCTGACATCGCTAATAAATTCAACAATTATTGTATGTCTCCAGGAGTGTAGAATTCCTGCAAGATCCTCACCCTTGAAATTGCCCTCATTTCTTTCTTACAGCCTCAGATCCAGAAACTATTGCATTCTATACATCAAACAATCTCTACCACATCAACTTCTGCCAGAAAAATTTGGCTTCACAGAAAAAACTGTGCTTGGGGTTAACGTTCTCTAATTACCCTACACAAAGCTTCAATTAGAACAATATCTAACTCTGGCCCCAGACATCACTCGGTACCCTTACTCAAATCCCTGAATATGTTAGATATCAAGTCACTGCACATCCTCTTATGAGTCTTCTATATATTTAAAGCTCTGAATTGTAATGTCAATCCTGACCTTAAAAGCTTCTTAGAAAGTTGTAACAGAACCCATGGGCACCACACCAGAAATACCTATTTGATATTCCAAGAGCACTTAATCAAAATAGAAATGCTCTACAAATCAAAGTACCCAGAATTAACTCCATGTAATCTAACTTATACCTAAATGACTTACTTGTATATTGGCTGTTGACCAATCCACACACTAGAAAATGAAGGGACGACGACGTTTTGGTCTGTCCTGGAAGATTCTGTAATCGATTGTGGTCAGGGAATGAGATGACGGCAATAAATAGGTAAAAGAGAGGTGAGGAGCAAGGTATGCAAGGTAAGATGTAGTAGAGGGGATAGTAACAGGAAAAAGAACATAGGTAACTGCAGAATGTATATTGGCCCATACGCAGCAACTCTTATTTATAACAACCCAATAAGAATAGAATAGTAATAGGAATAAGAAGAGGATAGCAAGGGATCGTAAGAGAAAATAACGGACAAAACACGAAAAAGGAAAGAGAAAGAAAGATAAATGGAAGGGTAAGTTTATGTTAGGTCACGTTTGTTAGAAAGATTAGAGCATTTGAGTATATACTGTAAAAGTGAAGAGTCCACAGAAACAAAGCCAGGACTCAAGTTCATGTTGGGTAAGTTGTATATTAGATCCGATTCAACAAGACGGCGTCTGTGTGGAGTAGAGGCTGGAAAATATATTTTGGAGGAAGACCAATCAATAGGATGATTAGAATCCCTAACATGACAGAAGAGAGCATTGCTTGTGTCTGCAGAACATAGGAACATAAGAATAAAGGTAATTGCAGAAGGCCCATTGGCCCATGCAACGCAGCTCCTATCTATAACCACCCAATCCCACTCATTGTTAGGGGTGACATGATAGAGGTTTACAAGTGGATGAATGGACTTAACAAAGGAGATATTAATAGGGTATTAAAAGTATCAACACAAGACAGAACACGAAACAATGGGTTTAAATTGGATAAGTTTAGATTTAGGACAGACTTGGGTAAATACTGGTTCAGTAACAGGGTTGTTGATTTGTGGAACCAATTGCCGCGTAACGTTGTGGATGTGGGATCCCTCGATTGTTTCAAGCGCGGGTTGGACATGTATATGAGTGGGATTGGGTGGTTATAGATAGGAGCTGCCTCGTATGGACCAATAGGCCTTCTGCAGTTACCTTTGTTCTTATGTTCTTATGAACGTGTCCAGCGTAGGAGGACAAAGTTCATTCACAAATTAGAAATCTTTCATATGAAGAATGATTAACAAAGCTTAAATTGCATTCACTGGAAAGGCGAAGAGTTAGGGGTGATATGATAGAGGTTTAAGAAGATAAGAACATAAGAACAAAGATAACTGCAGAAGGTCTACTGGCCCATACGAGGCAGCTCCTATTTATAACCACCCAATCCCACTCATATACATGTCCAACCCACGCTTGAAACAATATAGGGATCCCACATCCACAACGTTACGCGGCAATTGGTTCCACAAATCAACAACCCTGTTACTGAACCAGTATTTACCCAAGTCTGTCCTAAATCTAAACTTATCCAATTTAAACCCATTGTTTCGTGTTCTGTCTTGTGTTGATACTTTTAATACCCTATTAATATCTCCTTTTTTAAGTCCATTCATCCACTTGTAAACCTCTATCATGTCACCCCTAACAATGAGTGGAATTGGGTGGTTATAGATAGGAGCTGCGTTGCATGGGCCAATGGGCCTTCTGCAATTACCTTTATTCTTATGTTCCTATGTTCTGCAGACAGAACTTCTTATGTTCCTATGTTCTGTAGTAAAACTCAAACCAAACAAATCCCCAGGGCCGGATGAAGTGTTTGCCAGGGTGCTTAAAGAATGCAAAGAGGAGCTTTGTGACCCACTGTCAACCATATTTAATAAATCAATAGAGTCAGGCAGAGTGCCAGAGTCATGGAAAGGTAGCTAATGTGGTACCAATTTTTAAGAAAGGAGATAGATCACTTGCGTCAAACTATCGGCCAATTAGCCTAACGTCTATTGTAGGAAAGTTACTTGAATCAATAATTGCAAATACAATTCGTCTCCATCTTGAAAAACATAAATTAATAAATGAGTCGCAACATGGTTTTACAAATGGCCGTTCATGTTTAACAAATTTGCTAACTTTTTATTCGAGCATAGTTGAGGCAGTTGATAGTGGTAAGGATTGTGATGTTGTGTACCTTGACATTAGCAAAGCTTTTGATACAGTGCCACATGAAAGACTAATTAAAAAAATAGAAGCTCATGGTATTGGGGGTGCTATATTAACTTGGATTAGGGCATGGCTGTTCCAAAGGAAACAGAGGGTTAGTATAAATGGGGTTAAGTCAGAGTGGGATAATGTTGTTAGTGGAGTGCCTCAGGGCTCTGTCCTGGGACCTCTGGTGTCTATAATATATATAAATGATTTAGATTCAGGTTTGAGTAGCAACATTTGCAAATTTGCCGATGATACGAAAATCGGTATTGAAATTAATTCGGAGGAGGACTCACTATCACTTCAAGTTGATCTAGAAAGGGTTTTGAAATTGTCAAAGGATTGGCAAATGCAGTTTAATGCTGATAAATGTAAAGTTCTGAGGCTAGGTAATGATGATAGAGTTACAAGATACGAGCTGGATGGTGTTGAGATTGCGAAAGGGATCTGGGAGTTATGATTAGTAAGAATATAAAACAAAAGGATCAATGCATGAATGTTCGTAATAAGGCGAATAGGACACTGGGATTTATTAATCGCAGCGTTAGTAACAAGACACCTGGTGTGGTTCTTAAGCTATATCTTGCTCTGGTTAGGCCCCATTTAGATTATGCAGTTCAGTTTTGGTCGCCGTATTATAGAATGGATATAAATTCACTTGAACGTGTCCAACGTAGGATGACTAAGTTAATTCCCCAAATTAGAAATCTTTCATATGAAGAAAGATTAACAAAGCTTAAGTTGCTTTCCAGCCGGCAATTGACACCAAGTGCCCTCGATATCCAAAGTTCAAAGAGGAAGGCTGTGTGTGTGCAGGGCAAAAAGATCTGGACGACCACCAGTATCAGAAGAGATGATCGAGCGATTTCGGGAAACATTTTTGTGAGTCCCCAGAAAGTCCATAAGAAGAGCAAGTCTGTAAACCTAGATTCCTTCAACGACAATTTGGCGGGTCTCAAGAAACCTCTTGTCAATAAGAACATAAGAACAAAGGTAACTGCAGAAGGCCTATTGGCCCATACGAGGCAGCTCCTATTCTATAACCACCCAATCCCAATCATATACTTGTCCAACCCGCGCTTGAAACAACAGAGGGACACCACCTCCACCACGTTACGTGGCAATTGGTTCCACAAATCAACAACCCTGTTACAGAACCAGTATTTACCCAAGTCTTTCCTAAATCTAAACTTATCCAATTTATACCCATTGTTTCGTGTTCTGTCTTGTGTTGATATTTTCAATACCCTATTAATATCCCCCCGGTTATGTCCATTCATCCACTTGTAAACCTCTATCATGTCACCCCTAACTCTTCGCCTTTCCAGTGAATGCAACTTAAGCTTTGTTAATCTTTCTTCATATGAAAGATTTCTAATTTGGGGAATTAACTTAGTCATCCTACGCTGGATGACTAAGTGACTTAAATAGGTGACTTATAGTCACGATAGGTGACTTAAATGGGGATTTCGATGTGGATTCAATATATAACTTATTTAAGAATATTCTAAACAAAGCACAGGATCGTAGTATACCATACAAATTGAATAGATCGTATACTAATGACCCAAAGTGGATAACAAAGAATTTGAAGAACCTTATAGGTAAAAAGAGAGCTTGGTACAAAAGGATTAA